ACGTGAACAGGGTTTTTAAAGTGGCTATCATTATAGTTAGCTAGTTATAGCTAGTACAGATTAACAGTTTTTTAACATGTTTTTTAACAGTTATGGTTACAAATTACAAACGTAAAAGTTATTAATTGTACTAATAGCGTTATTTTTATTCCCCAAAATTTCTATCGCTGTTGCGATAGTATAGTTATTAGGGATGCACCGATACTGCGCTCCTGTACTTGTACTCATACTTGTAAAAATGCCCCGATACCACACAGCGTGTGAATAGAGCTGTGTCCAGAAAAAGAAACACTGACAACAGAACAACAGAGAGTAGAATGGAGCTATTAGAGATTAAGGATGTCTAAGAAGTACATGTAAGTAATTAACATATCAGAATCAGAATCAGAATGAGCTTTATTGCCAAATTTGTTCAATTACAACTTAAATGCTTACGTTTACATTCTATGTCTATTTAAATAAATAAAAAATAGGCAAAATGTGTAAGGATAGTTCACACAAAGATGACAATACTGATTTTTTTCCCCTCTTCATGTTTATCTGTGCAACACAAAAGGTTAATTTTTAAAATAATATCCTGGCCTCTCCATTTCATATAATGGAAATTAATGGGGACTGAGGCTGTAATGCTACAAAATGACACCAAATGGGCAAAAAAGCACCATAAAATTGGTTAATTTGATTTGTCATTAAGCCATACAATAGATCATTTGTGATGAGCAGACCAAGAGACATGCAAAAAATAGGGATGCGGTATCGGGTCCGATACTGCGATCCTGTACTCGTAGGCCTACTCGTAAAAATGCCCCGATACCAAAAGCCGATACCACACAGCGTGTGAATAGAGCTGTGTCCAGAAAAAGAAACACTGACAACAGAACAACAGAGAGTAGAATGGAGCTATTAGAGATTAAGGGTGTCTAAGAAGTACATGTAAGTAATTAACATATCAGAATCAGAATGAGCTTTATTGCCAGGTATGTTTACACATACGAGGAATTTGTTTTCGTGACAGAAGCTTCCACAGTGTAACAGAATGACAGCGACAGAACAAAAAACACAGATAATAAAAAAAATAATAATAATAAAATAAAAAATAGAACAAGTAAATAAGGAATAAAAATATACAAATAGACAGTTGTATGTACAGGTATATTATGTGCAAATTGAAATTTTGACTGAGTATGTGTGTTAGATAAATAAGTGTATGAGTGAATAAATAGTCTGTATAGCGGATGTGCGCGAGCTGATAAGCAGAGCGCGCTAAGAGTAGATTGAGCACGCGGCGGCACAGATGTGCGAGCTTGTCGAGTGAATATCTCACAGACATCACTGGAAAGTTTGTAGTTCGGTCGGATATGTCAAAAGCAAGCAAGTACAACAATGCACAAGTTACTAAAGTTATTTGACGGTAAGGAGAGCGAGAGAGCGAGCACTTCTGTTGCATGATCTTGATTGCTGTTCGCTCCATTAGCGCATGCATTTGGATTAAAACGAAATTAAGATTAAAATTTTTTATCGTAAATATAAAACAAAAATTATAGGGGCATTCACTATAAACATTTATTTTAAACGTCAAGCATACACAACTTTATTTAAAGCAGAAGTGAAACTAGCAGACTGTGTGAAATGCGCTAGGCTGTAAGTGTCTCTCATTCTGCATTTATTTATATTTAATTTATATTTACCAAAATAGTACGCGCGTACTCGTATAATGTATAACGAGTGGTTCCCTGCATTATTATAGGAAAACGTCTTGTGATTACAGTATTGAGCTGCTGCAATGGAGCAGCTCTAATGCGCCATTAAAATGAACAGTGAAAGTAACAAAACATTTTATAATATAATTAAGTGTGGAAATAAATGAAGGAAATATCTGTTTGCTAAATGAAGCCAACTAACATGATTCATAGTAGTAGTATTATTATTATTATTATTATTATTACTATTATTTTGTTTCTGTACCCAATAT